CTATTTTCATCATCTTTTAAATTTTTTAAATTTAACCCACCATAAGCTTCATTATCTTGAGAACATTTAAAATACTTAGAATTAATATATATCAAAAGGCAACTTTCTGTGGATAAGAAGTTCATTAATAGAGATAGACAATTTATAATTGGTATTATCACCCATTTGATTTTTCACCACTTTCGAATTTCTGTTTGTTTGTTTGTTGTATATAAGACCATAAAGCCATTTGTCTCCAAGGAAGTAAGGAATTAAGCCACTTAGTGCCCTTTTGTTGTAAGTTGCTGTAAAAAGAGCTCTGGTTACTTAGCTATAAATTGTGACATTTATTTCAGCGTATGAGAAAGTTATCATTTCTTGGCCTTACTATCAATCTGCAATGTTTAGAGGATTATATTTTTTCTTTATTATTATTTTTTCACTTTCCTGAATAAACAGCCAGAATTCAGCGGTATTCTAATATGCAGCATGGGAATTTGCCAATTAATGGGATATGCATGAATCTGTGGCAAGAGGTGTAACTGTTACTTTTCCTTTTCTTACTCAGTAGGTGAAGGGACTGAGGTTAAAGATTGGCATTTCATTCTTTTTTTTTTTTTTTGACAGTGCTGTTGCTTTTAACATATCTTTCTATCAAGTCTGGTCTCAGTCACCCAGATTAGAGACATTGCTGTATGTGTACTCTGCCAGGTATATCAGGTTTTTAGTTTTTCACTCAGTAAAGCACTGATTCCCATCACTAGGATTTTATCCACTTTGTCAAGAGGGAGAAATGTCTTACTTGACATCACTTGCAGTTTGAATGCACTTTTCTTTTGTTTTGTTTTTGTTTTTGAGATGGAGTCTGCCTCTGTCACCCAGGCTAGAGTGCAGTGGTGTGATCTCAGCTCACTGCAATCTCTAACTCCCGGGTTCAAGTGATTTTCCCACCTCAGCCTCCCGAGTAGCTTGGACTACAGGCGTGTACCACCATGCCTGGCTGATTTTTGCATTTTTACTAGAGATGGGGTTTCACCATGTTGGCCAGACTGATTGCAAACTCCTGACCTAAAGCGATCTGCCTGCCTCAGCTTCCCAAAGTGCTGGAATTACAGGCATGAGCCGCCGTGCTCAGCCTGAATTCACTTTGATTTTTAGTAGTAGTAAAGGATTTTTAATAGTCTTCTTTAATTACTTGAGTGTTCGAGAATCTTTTTTTCTTTTTTTCTTTTTCCTTTTTTTGTTTGGAAGCACAGTGATTTGTATTGAGAATCTTTTGTGACAGCCAACTTAGTCTTTTAAATGTTTGCATTTTATGATCATTGTCTTGGTATAAATAAATCTCACTTTATGCCCTGTTTTCATTACTTTGCCTCATTATTACCTGAAATTTTAGAAAAATAAATTAGTATGGTTTTAATGATTTTTTGTAAAACTTAATTTTATCCATAATAATTAAGTTTGGATTATCTATTTTATCTTTGGTAGCTGCAGCATCAGGCAATGAGAACATACAACCACCACCATTAGCTTATAAGAAATGGGGTCTACAAGATATTGACACTATTATTGATCATGCTAGTGTTGGTAAGTATTACCAGTTAAAATTCTCTTGGAATTTACTTCTTATGCTTTTTTACTGAAGTATCTCGTTTGTTAGAAATTGACATTTATTCTTTATTATTATTATTTTGTTTGAGACGGAGTCTCGCTGTATCGCTGAAGCTAGAATGCAGTAGGGCAATCTCTGCTCACTGCAACCACCACCACCTCAGCCTTCCGAGCAGCTGAGATAACAAGCGTCCACTACCATGTCTGGCTAATTTTTGCATTTTTAATAGAGACGGAATTTCATCATGTTGGCTGGGCTAGTCTTGAACTCCTGACCTCAGATGATCTGCCCGCCTCAGCCTCCCAAAGTGCTGGGATTACAGGCGTGAGCCACCATACCTGGCCAACATTTATTTTATTTTATTTTTTCTTTATTCACTATCTCCAGTAATGGCTATAAGCAACAACATTTATTCTTATGTGAAAAAATGCATTGTTTTTGGTGAGACATCTGGAGGTTCAGATTCAGAGCATCATAGGCTTGTATCTTTAAAGCTGGGGATGGTGGCTAACACCTATAATCCCAGCACTTTGGGAGGCTGAGGTGGGGGAATCACATGAGGCCAGGAGTTCAAGATTAGCCCGACCCACATGGTGAAATCCCTATCTCTACTAAAAATACAAAAATTAGCCTGGTGTGGTGCACACCTGTATTCCCAGTTGCTTGGGAGGCTGAGGCAGAATTGCCTGAACCCAAGAGGCCGAGGTTGCAGTGAGCCAAGATCGCACCACTGCACTCCAGCCTGAGTGATAGAGCAAGACTCTGTGTCAAGAAAACAAAAAACAAAAAGAAATGGTAGCAGTTTCAATAAAGATTTAATTATGCCCTCGGCCACAGTATTGTATAGTTTTAAATCACTCACTATTTGACTCATTTTTCTACAGACAAATTTGGTCTATATAATGACCATATAAATTAGTCTTTTAAAAATGTAACCTTGGTCAGGTATGGTGGCTTGCACCTGTAATCCCAGCTACTCAGAAGGCTGAGGTAGGAGGATCTTTTGAGCTTAGGAGTTCAAGACCAGCCTGGGCAATGTAGCAAGACCCTATTGCTTAAAAAAAAAAAGTAACCTTTAAACCAGTAGAATATAGATAAAAGTAGATTTCTTCTTGCAAACCTGTAAGAGAGCTTACTGTGTTAGGTATTGAGGGTATAGAAATGAAAAGACATGCCTCTGTGCTGTCTGGAAAGTGTGAGTCTAGAAGTTTAGTTGGAAGAAACACGTGAATGGCTACAATAATGCATCATAATAATTGTAGCAAAGGGACCAGCTGTAGTGGAGCAGAGGAGGAAACATTGTTTCTCCAGTACACTATACACTTTTACTAGACCTATGTGCATGTTGGCTAGAATGCCTCCTCTATGTTTGCTCACTTGGTCAAGTTCTACTCATTCTTTGCAAACTGGACACTGGGAAAGAAAGAGCAAGGAAAAAAGGAAGGAGTATGACTCAAGAGGGGCTAACAAAGTATCTGACACATAGGCCATCTTTCTGTTTACTGCATAGCTTTTATTTGGAATACTCTGTAATAAAAACCTATTGGTAAACATTTCAGTGTATCTACTTTTTTGCTAGCATAAAAATGCTACAAAATTCCAAAGTGTTGAGTTCAGTTCAGGGGAACTTCCCTGCTCTGTTAATTAAACTTTGGAACATTGAAACTGGCTAGGGAAAATGATTGGATAGAAAATATTATTCTATTCATTTATCCCCAGCCTACAAAATGAAAAAAGGTCCAATAAACGTTATTGTATGTACATCTTTATGTAAAGGTCTGGTTAATTTATTCAACGAATAAATGAGTACCTATTAGTATTTGTGCTAGAAACACAAGATAGACAGGACACCACCCTCATAAACCTTACATTTTGGTGATGGGGAAACAAACAATAAACTAAATGAATACATATGATAATATCAGACTGTTAGTGGGCATCACGAAGAAAATAAATAGAAGGTTATGATAGAGAGTAAAGGAAGAGGGTGCTTTAGATAGACTAGTGAGGAAAGGCCTCTTCAGGGACGTGACATTCAGACTGAGACTTGAAGGATGAGAAGGAACCAGCTATGGAAAGAGGTGCAGGAAGAGCATTCCAGGCAGAGGAGCATCAGGTATATAGGTGTGGGAGCCTTGAAGATTTCAGAGTGTTCAAGAAACAGAAAGGGGGTTGGTGTGACTTGGCGGTAAAGAGTGAGGGGAAAACAGGACAAGGTTAGGCTGGAGATGCAGACTAGGGTTAAATCACGTAGGGATGAGGAGGTAAGATTTTATTCTAAATGCAATGGATGTCATTGATGGATTCTAAGTAGGGGATTGCATTTAAACATATCTCTCTGTTTGTTCTTTAGGGAGATGCTTGTAGAAGAAAGCAAGGAGACCAGTTAGGAGTATATTACAATAATTCATGCAAGAGAGAATGATGGCTTTATGGTGGAGGCAATGGAGTTGGAAGGAAGTAGACAGATTTGAGATACATTTTGTACTTGCTAAGGGATGGTTTTGAGAAATAAGGAAGAAAAGAATTAAGGATTTCTTAATTTTTAAGTTTGATAAACAGGGTGGATGATGAGACTGTTCACTGAAATGAGAATAAGGAGGAGAGAGGAAGAGATTTAAGGTAGGCAAATAATGAGTTATGTTTTTACAGGCTAACTTCTGACACAGTTCGACATTTAAGTAGAGGTATCAAGTATACAAATTGGACATGAGCATATGAAGTTCAGGGAGGAAGCTGGGATTGTAGATATAAATTTGAGAGGGAGTGATTTACTATGGAATGCTGCACAGAATTCAAGAAAAGAAGGTCTGTTGGATTTGACAACCTGGAGTTATTTATTGACTCTTGATATGAACAGTTAAAGTAGAATGGTGAGGATGAAAGCCAAATTAATATAGGCTTAAGAATAAATATTTTCACCCCCTGCTCTCCAAATGACAAACAAGGAGCATAAGAAAGATTCCCAGGTTGGGCGCAGTGGCTCATGCCCATAATCCCAGCACTTTAGGAGGCTGAGGTGGGCAGATCACAAGGTCAGGAGATGGAGACCATCCTGGCCAACATGGTAAAACCCCATCTCTACTAAAAATACAAAAAATTAGCTGGGTGTGGTGGTGTGTACCTGTAGTCCCAGCTACTTAAGGGGCTGAGTCAGGAGAACCGCTTAAACCTGGGAGGCAGAGATTGCAGTGAGCTGAGATTGCACCACTGCACTCCAGCCTGGAGACAGAGTGAGACTTCATCTCAAAAAAAAAAAAAAAAAAGACAAAAAATAGATTCCTAGCTTCTCCCTTTTTATGGAGTCCTGACCGCTTTCTGAAGCCTCATACTCATTTTTTCCAGCTCCTTACTGAACAGTTTCTACCTAGATATCAAACTTAACATATCCAAAATTGAATTATTATTTTCCTCCTGTCAAACTTGCTCCTCCTTTTTTTCCCACATCATCTTTCTTCTCCTGGTTGCTCCTCACCATGACATACAAGGTCCAACCTTATCTGGCTTATGGTACTCTGACATTGTCTCCTGCAGTATACCCCTCCTTGTGCATTGTGTTTCATCACGTGGACTTCCTTTCTGTTCCTCAGACGCAGCAAGCATATTCCCACTCTAGAGCATTTAGAATTACTGCTTCCTCTTCCTGGAAAACTTTAGCTAGTCACATGGCTTTCTCCCTCTCTTCACTTAGGTCTCTGTTTATATATCACTTTGTCAAAGAGGCCTTCTTTAGCCACCCTACTAGACCTAGAAAATCATCCAATGAGTTTGACTTTATGAAAATTTATATTGAGAAGGACTTTGATGTCTTCCAAAGTGTGGAAAGGCCTCAGATGCTCAGGGAAAACTCTAAATGACAAAGTAATAACTCCAGAAAAAAAATGCACAGCCAAGGAAATATAATAAGTAGTGAGTCTCACCAGTGAGTTATATCATTCCTAATAATGAAAACAGTGGATTTAATAAATTGAGATACAAATATTTTGGAAGGATATAGGGAGAGAAGGAGATGTAAATAAGCCACACCACCTTAAGTTAGTGAAAAATAGTGCTAAAATCGGTGACTCGAAAGATAACAGCCCCCTAAATTCAGTACCAATATGTAGCAATATAGAGGGCAGAATAACACTTAAATAATACTATAGGAATGTAGTTAGCAAAATGTAGACTGGGAAATTGGTCTCAAACAACTTGTTTCTTCAACAACCAGATTTCAAAGGATCAAGGGTGGGAAGGAGAGTTGAGGAGGTCAGAAGGATTTTGGACCAACCTTTATGTCTATTTGTTTGTGGTCCTTACTCTGAAACCCAGAGATATTGCTTTTCTTAGCAATGATCAGCTATTTTGCTTCAAGAGCAGAGAGTGCAGAAAGTTTAGGTCAACCAAGGTTAAGATTTAGCTAGGGGAGTATATGTGTAGGGGGAGACAAGTGTAGGGAGGTAGTGGGTATTTACAGGAAAGTGGTGATGATGGAACACAAATCTAAGCTGGATAAAAAGGGAAGTGATCCCAAGAGGTACTTGATAAATAGTGGAAAAAACAGTAAGATTAATTATTTGAAACTCGAAATTGTGAAATTACTGCAGGGAGTTTCTAGAGTAATTGAGATGGAAAGCTAGGAGATGGTGGTCTAAGTGTGGTATGCTTGAAATCAAGGTTACAAAGAATCTATAGATTCTTTTGACAGGAACTAAAGCATGACATTGAAAATGTAAATGTAAATCTGTAGATTTGCATTATAGAAGGAGAAGGTTTATGTTATAGAAGGAAAAGATATTGGTGGCAAGGGTGGAAAGAACTGATCAGCCATTTCCTTACTATAAATTAGAATCCTTTAAAAAATTTATATCTATTGCAAAATTGTCCTGTGGATTATCTTGTATCAATTTACACTCCCATGTGTATCGCATGGGGAATATGCAAAGAAGCTATTTTAAAACTTAAATTTCAATTTATATGTCATACAGTTTACTCTTTGATCATGTTCTGGTGGAGTCAGACAAAACTTATGCAAATTTTATAATGTAGTGAAAACATTTTGTCTACTGAATCGTGGATTCATTTATGACTATGAGATACGTGTTCTTATCTTTTATAATATTCTAGGAAGTGGGACAGGAATTAAAAAAATAGTCCAAGGATTTGTTTGATCACTTTAATTCCTATAAATCCAGTGAATGTTTTGCTTATGAACTCACTAAAAGAATTTCCTTTCCTAGGACTCATCTTAAGTACAAATTCATTATTTGACAGTTTTCAGGCAAAGGGGAGGCAATACATGTATATGAAAATTAGTAATGCCGGGCACAGCAGCACACCCGTGTAATTGTAGCCCTTTGGGAGGCCACAGTGGGTGGGATCGCTTGAGCTCAGGAGTTCAAGACTAGTCCGGGCAACATAGCAAAACCCTTTCCCTATGAGAAATAAAAAATTTAGCTATGTGTGGTCACCTGCGCCCGTAATCCCAGCTACTTGGGAGGCTGGAGCGGGATGATCGCTTGAGCCCAGGAGACCGAGGCTGCAGTGAGCCGTGACCATGCCACTGCACACCAGCCTGGGTGACAGAGAAAAACGCTGTTTCAAAAAAAAAAAAAGTATATGGAACAATAGAAACTGTAACTTGGTTCATTCTATGGTATATTTGAGTTCAGGTTATCTCAATGGGGGTGTCTTCACGTTATCATATGAGTACTCAACTTTGAAGACACTGCCTGAGTCCATATGTTAGAATAGCAGCAGTTCTTTACTTCCTAGCTCTCTAAGCTCAGTTTCCCCTCTTCTCTCTGCCAGTCAGGTGAAATTAAATGACACTGGGTTTTCCTCTGCTACTCCACCAAGGCATATGGCTGTCAACATTCAAGTTATTTTTGCTCTTAGAGTTTTAAGGAAATGAAAAGTAAGTCTCCGTTATGAAATATTGGGGATTTCTGAACTACAGAGCAGACATTCAAAAGTGTTTGTTCTCACTGTTTTGGAATGATACAGAGCACAAGTACTCTCAGCTTTTTTTGTGGGAGTATAAGTTAGCGCCATCTTTATGGAACGCAGTGTAGCAGTACTTAAAAATTTTTTTAAAGGCCGGGCGCAGTGGCTCACACCTGTAATCCCAGCACTTTGAGAGGCCGAGGTGAGTGGATCATGAGGTCAAGAATTCAAGACGAGCCTGACCGGGATGGTGAGACCTTGTCTCTACTAAAAATACAAAAATTAGGCAGGCCTGGTGGCGGGTGCCTGTAATCCCAGCTGCTTGGGAGGCCATGGCAGAGAATTGCTTGTACCTGGGAAGTGGAGGTTGCAGTGAGCCGAGATAGTGCCACTGCACTCCAGCCTTAGTGACAGGGGAAGACTCCATCTCAAAAAAAAAAAATTTTTTTTTTAACGTAGATCCTGTTTGACCCTGCACTAATGTTTTTAAGAATTTATGTATATTGGTACAGTATAGATAGATGTATATAAGTGTACAAAGACATTAAGGATATATATATATTGTAGAATTCTTTGTAGTGCCAAAAGATGGGAAATGACCCAAATGTCCACCAGTAGGTCAGATCAATTATGCTATGTCTATATAATAGAATCCTAAGAATGATTGAGAAGAATGATATCTTCTTGATGTTTTATTAAACACAAAAAGTGAGGCACGCACCAACTTATTTGATGTTCTGTCATTTGTGTGTATACAGCACCTCTGGAAGACAGCATAAGAAACAATTATGTTGGTTGTTGCTACTAAAAAGCAAATTGGGGCCGGTGCAGTGGCACACGCCTGTAATCCCAACACTGGGAGGCTGAGGTGGGCAGATCACCTGTGGTCAGGAGTTTGAGACCAGCCTGGCCAACATGGCGAAACTCTGTGTCTACTAAAAATACAAAAATTAGCTGGGCATGGTGGCACACGCCTGTAGTCCCAGCTATTCAGGGAGGCTGAGACAAGAGAATCACTTGAATCTGGAAGGCAGAGGTTGCAGTGAGCTGAGAGCACACCATTGTACTCCAGCCTGAGTGACAGGGTGAGACTCCATCTCAAAAAAAAAAAAAGATGTGAATTGGTACTTGGGGATATAGTGGACTATATACTTCTGGTACCTCTGAGTTTTGTATCTATTCAAAAAATTAAGTTTGGGTTTTATTATATTCTATAGGTTATAGAAATTATAAATGGAATTTTTAATTTTGGGGTGGGAAACGAGGTCTTGCTCTGTTGCCCAGGCTGGAGTGCAATTGCTGCGGTCTCGGCCCACTGCAACCTCCACCTCCCATGTTCAAGCAGTTCTCCTGCCCCAGCCTCCCAGATAGCTATGATTACAGACACCCACCACCACACCTGGCTAATTTTTGTATATTTAGTAGAGATGGGGTTTCACCATGTTGTCCAGGCTGGTTTCGAACTCTTGACCTCAAGTGATCAACCTGCCTTGGCCTCTCGAGTGTTGGGATTACAGGAGTGAGCCACTGTGCCCAGCAAAATATTTTCTGATGTTGATTTTGTAGCTCTTAAAATGACTTGTTTGAATAAAACTAAGGATTTAGCATCTTAGAATGGAACTGAAGTAAAAATGTCATGAACAAAATAACATTGTACATTCAAATCATGTTGTTTTTTTTTTATCATTAGGTATTATGACTCTGTCCCCCTTTGATCAAATGAAGACTGCCTCCAATATAGGTGGATTTAATGCAGCAATTAAAAATAGTCCACCTGCCATGTCTCAGTATATCACTGTAGGGTCCAATCCATTTACCGGCTTCTTCTATGCTTTAGAGGTATGAGTTTTATCACTGATCATGAGTAAGGCAACTCTTGATTTTACAACTTGTCTACAAATTGGATATGCCAACTTGCTTAGCTTTAGAAGATTAAGCAGTTTACATTTCTAAATTTCAATTGAAACTAACATTAATCTCAACTAGCTTTCTTCCAAATTCTTTAGATTAACTAAAAAGGTACTAAAATCAGTATAAAAGAAAATTCTTTGTTTCTGAAGCCCTGAGTTCTTTGATAGCTGAGATTTCTTTAAATATTGCTGCAATATTCAGAAGCTCAGGCTTGTTAATGATGTCAGCTCACTAGGGATTTGAGTAAATGAGGAATTTGTAAAGACAGAACAAGCTGCCAACTATGCTTGTTATAAGTTGTGAAAATTGCTTCCTAAAATAGAGGAAAGTTGAGTGTTAGATTTGGCAGCTCTTGTTTCTCACTTAAAAAGCATACTTCTCAGAATTGTTCAAAATATCTTTTTACTTCTATAAAAATTGTGTGTGTATGTGTGTGCCTATAAGTATGTACATATATATATATGTATATGTGTGTATATATATATATATATAAAAAGAGAAAAGAGTTGGCTAGTCCAGCTAGAATAATGTAATCTTAATATTCTAGTTTAAAATTTATTTTAATGAATTGGAATTTAAAGAGGTAAATTCTAATGATAACATAGGCTAATGATGATTTTATTTTTAAACTATAGAGTTAAAACTTTTTATTATATTGCTCTTAAAATAAACTTTTTACTGTACTCTGAAAGAAGCTGAGTTGCTAGTCCAGCCTTTACAACTTTTCAAAGTATTTTGAAGTAAGCTTTATTTAGAAAGTATGTTTGTTTCTTTGTAAGCTACTAAATTTTCTTTCAAATGTTCTGTTTTTCAGGGAAGCACACAACCATTATTATCTCATGTTGCACTAGCAGTTGCAAGTAAACTCACTTCTGCTTTATTTAATGCTGCCAGGTAATTACTTAACAATTAAATAAAAAATATCTAATTTGTATCTAGCTTGCTTTTAACCTGTATTTTGGTAGCTTGGGCTTTAAAACCCTGAAAGCTCAGTTTTATTCTAAGTTTTCTTTCTTTTCAGTGGTTGGCTTGGTTGGAAAGGTAAGCATGAAGAAGAAGCTGTCCAGAAGCAAAAGCCAAAGGTTGAGCCAGCTACCCCATTAGCTGTAAGGCAAGTCTGTCATGCTTCTCAAATTTTAGTCCTTTGAGAAGAGTACTGTTAAATTTATGGTCTTTTCATGTGCCTGGTTGATTTGCTGATCTCATAAGTCTTTGGAACTTCTGAAAGCCATTACGGTGGGATTTTTTTCCCTCACTAGAATGTAAAACTCCATGTGAAGAGTGATTCTTAACTGTTTTGTTCACAGCTGTATCCCTGTTATACAGTAGGTATTCAAGATGTATTTCTTAAATGTGCTTATTAACAAACTTAGCTTAGTTGTAGGAGAATTGGTTTAGAGAATTGGTTTAGTTGAATTTCTTTTAAAAGTTTAGTTTGCTACTAAGTTACGTAAACTTTAAAAGTTCTTAGTGATTTCTTTTAAAAAAATATAATCTTGGTAGATTACAGTGGCTCATGCCTATAATCCTAGCACTTTGGGAGGCCGAGTTGGATGGATCACTTGAGGTCAGGAGTTTGACACCAGCCTGGCCAACATGGTGAAATCTAATCTCTACTAAAAATACAAAAATTAGCCAGGCATGGTGGCGCTTGCCTATAATCCCAGCTACTCAGGAGGCTGAGGCAGGAGAATCACTCAAACCTGGGAGGCAGAGGTTGCAGTGGGCCAAGATTGCTCCATTGCACTCCAGCCTGGGGGACAAGAGCAAAACTCAATCTCCAAAAAAAAAAAGTAAAAAAGTAATAGCAGGAGTTGTGTATTCAAGCAGTCTTTAGACAAGACTCCTGGCCTGTGCTTCCTTGTTTATTTCAGTAGTGCTTTATTAGAATGTATTAGTATATTTGTGTTTTTTTTTTTTTTTTTTTTTTGGTAGAAGGAGCATGATTTTTGTTTCTTTTTTATTAGTATTTTTTAGACAGAAGGATTTTTTCTAATGTTTGGTTTTATTTTAAAATAATTTTTTATCACCTAATATAAAGTACCACCATGAAGGGAAATAGTTCTGTTTATTTATCCTCCTTTTTATGGATATTCTTCACCTAAAGAGAGCCAACTAATTATTAAAATTTATTGAAGTATATCATCTAAGTTTTTTTCATCTTTTTAAAAAATGTATTGTAGCATATCATGTTTCCTAATATCAAGAATCAAGAAATTAGCCAAATGGCCCTGTGAATCTCAAACAGATGTAACAAAGTTTGAGCATCTTTGTTTCAAGGACATTTCTCAAAGTGAGTTTCCTAGTTCTTTTTTAGTACCTCTTTACTTTTATTTTACTCAGAATTCTAATGAGGTTGATTATAGACCAACAGCAGTTTAAAGATAACTATTTAGAAAAAGGAAAGTTTTTGCTTCAGCCAGATTGGTTTCAGCAGGATCTGATATCTTACAAAAAAGAGAAAGGTTAGGAATAAGAACTTAAAATAGACAAAGATGCCTGTGTGGGAGCAAATTCTAAAATTTAGTTGATGGTGAGGACATTATTTTCTATGGCATGACTCTTAATCAAATAAAGGTATATTTTATATTCTCTAAAGGTATAGGGTTGTGGGTATCTATTGAAAACCTACATAGAACTGTGGTTTTATTTCTTTTATATATCTTATATTACAAATGTCAGTTGTGATTAATAAATTAACTATTAATCCAGGCAAAATTCATATTTCTTTATATAAAAACAGATTCAGCCTATTTCATTTATGCATTTCATTATTGTGTTATATGTTTCTGAATTGGAATGTGATTTGAGCTTTTATTTTCTTTTTAAATATCAGATTTGGACTTCCGGATTCTAGACGCCATGGTGAAAGCATATGTCTGTCTCCATGTAACACGCTGGCAGCAGTAACAGATGATTTTGGCAGAGTTATTTTATTGGATGTAGCTAGAGGAATTGCAATACGCATGTGGAAAGGTACTTCTTACAACAATCCAGAAAAACAATTACTTTTTACCCCAATCTTTGAGCAGTGTTATCATCCTTCAGCTTCTGGTTGATAATTCTGTTTAATTCTTTATGTTTACATGTTTTTATTTTTTTGACGTGAACTCAGATCAGCAACCACTTGATCGAGTAGTCAGTTGATACATCCTTGAGGTTTGATCACCTCATAGCCATATTTAACCTTTTGCACTTTCTTTTCAGTTCTCACTGTCATTGTCAATTTCTGAGTTCAGTTTCTTTCCCCTGCTACATTTACTCCCCTTCACAAAGCCATTCTTGAGCCAAATGTTCTCCCCAAATCTATAGTGCCAAGTCTTTCAGATTTAAAATAGCAAAACCCATGTTCACTTACTTGACTTTTATATCCATATGCTTGGGTCAATCCACCTGGTGTGTCAATATGTATGTCACTTGGGAGTTTCATTCAGCTGTTAGTAACAGACCTGAGTAACAGACCACAGTATCTTCATGAACACAGTCTTCTTCCTTGTAGCTTCCCCACTCAAGGTTCTCATAGATAGCCCTCTTATCTGCATTCCAGGAAGGAAGCAGAAAGGAAGAGGGCTTCTCCTGACAGCTGAGTCAATCTACTTTGAGGATATTCCCCAAAGTCTCTTCAACCATTATCTACATTAGCCAGGACTTAGTGACATGGCCTCATCTAACTATAAGGGAGACTTGAAAATATCTTTTAACTGGGCACATTGTCAACCCCTGAGTAAAATAATATCTCCCTGACTAAGAAGTGATAATTACATTATTTAGAATCATCTGGAATAGTAACATGTCAGTGTAGACCACAATTTATGGTGCAGTCTTGTCTGTCCTTTAAAATCTGTGGGATTATGGATTGAGGTCATTAAATTACTCTGGACAGATTGAAGCCACTGTCACCTTCTTGCCAAAGAACCCTGCAGTGACAGACAGAGGCAGGCAGTCTTTACCTACTACATGTCTAAGTATCTGTAGAAATAATTTTAGTACTGCAGGTACATCATTTCTCCTTGGTGTTTGTCTTCTGAAACAATATCAAAGGTGTGTTCTCAGCAAGACTTTTCTAAAATACAGAAGACAAAGCTGTACTGACTGCTCCAGATTTCCTGTGGCAATCTTATTCCTTACGTCATCGCCTGTCTTTCTGCAGCTGGTGCATTCAGTTTTCCTTTCTATTATGTACTTGGAAAGAAGGATCAATTGCCTATAAGAGGGGGCCACCCTAAAATGGAAGACAGCATCAGCTACTTCTGCCGTGCAGGACCTTCCTCCTGTCGCCTTGTAGCCCATATTTTCTATCTGCATATCACCAAAAGGCTTGGTTGGGAAGGGAAGGGAATGGGATCCGGAGGGGTAATCAGGTAGCTTCAGTTATATCTATAATCTTTTCTGTTCTTGAGTTTTGCTCTTGTTGCCCAGGCTGGAGTGCAATGGCACCATCTCTGCTCACTGCAACCTCCGCCTCCCGGGTTCAAATGATTCTCCTGCCTCAGCCTCCCAAGTAACTGGGATTACAGGCATGTGCCACCTCGCCCAGCTAATTTTTTGTGTTTAGTAGAGAGGGTTTCACCATGTTGGTCAGGCTGTTCTCAAACTCCTGATCTCAGATTATCCACCCGCCTTGGCCTCCCACAGTGCTGGATTTATAGATGTGAGCCACTGCATATTTTCTTTGTTACAAAGAAAAAGTGATCAGAAGTAAATATACAAAGTACTAAGATTTGATAAATCTTAGTGATAGACTGGTTATTATTTATTATCATTTTTTATTTAAGCTTTTCCATAATAAAAAAAATATACTTTTATAGCTTTTCTTACTTCACCCCCGCTATTCCAGAGTACTTCAGGAGGCTGCTATGGAACCTAGATTAAGTAATTAACTTCCCTTTCCCTCTATCTTTAAGGGTACCGCGATGCACAAATTGGATGGATTCAAATTGTAGAGGACCTCCATGAAAGAGTACCAGAAAAGGCAGATTTTTCTCCCTTTGGAAATTCTCAGGGTCCAAGTCGAGTAGCTCAATTCCTTGTGATCTATGCTCCAAGAAGGGGAATTTTAGAAGTGTGGAGCACACAGCAGGGACCTAGAATAGGAGCTTTCAATGTGGGAAAGCACTGCAGGTAAGCTGCAAATGCTGGCATTGTGCTGGTTACAAAATGAAAAATAGGAATGCTTTTATTAAAATAAAGCTTTTACTAAAGCTCCTTATGTTAGATTACAAGTTTGAGAATTACAATATGCTTTATTGTGGTTTTCCCTGTGAGTACCTGGTTTATAATTATTTAATAACAACAAAAAAAGTTGAAAATGCTGTGATACACTACTGAATTAAAGTTAGCTTTTTGCTGACATTTGTCCCTGACTTATGCTGTGAAGGCTCAAAAGGAAAGGTTCCTTCAGATTGCCCTAGTGATAAGTGAGGTGAATGCTTTGTTTGCCCTTGAAACCTGGGCCTGATTGTATTCATTTTACTTTATAGAATCTTTGAACAAAGCAGAACTCTGCTAGTTGAGCCCTGCTCTACTTATGTGTTTGCTATCAGTATTTAGTTGCTTTATTAATGTTCCTAAATTGATAATAATGTTGGGTTCCGTAGCTATAATAAAAGGACTTTTTGGCATTTCTCCTATTCTAATATTTTTACCATCTTGATTTGTGTTCTTTTTAGGCTACTGTATCCTGGATATAAAATAATGGGCTTAAATAATGTTACCAGTCAGAGTTGGCAGCCACAGACTTATCAGATCTGTCTTGTTGATCCAGTGTCTGGAAGTGTGAAAACAGTGAACGTTCCCTTCCATTTAGCACTGAGGTAAGGTGTATCCAGTGTTGCTGATTGATGCTTCTCTGCTAACTTTTCCTAGTTCCTAGGTTTGTTGTACTGTTTTGTAGTTGCTATTTCGTTGTTTCCTTTGTCTTTAGACTGATATCTTTAAAGTTAAATAGGAAACACATAAAGGAAAAAAATAGTTGGAATACGTCAGAGTTAGAAAGAAAATTTCATATTCTTTAAGAATTTGTTATATTTATTGTTTTAGTGATAAGAAGAGTGAACGAGCCAAGGATATGCACCTAGTGAAGAAACTAGCAGCCTTACTGAAAACAAAATCTCCCAATCTTGGTAAGTATTCTATCATACTAATAATAAAGCATATTGTTCTATCATCTTTTGAATCAATAAAATATTCTGAATGGAGCAATCAGAATAATCCATGGATGAGCCCAACTCCTTTTCAGAATGAGGTGAGGTACAAGTGATACAAGTGATCACCTGTACTTATTGGAATTGCTCTGTAAGGAAGAAGTCTGCCATCTAGAGGGTGTTATAATTTATAACAAGGAAACATTAATGTGAGAGAACCCAAAAATCCTTTAGACTCACTGATAGTATAGATGTGTTCATTTTCTTTGAGAATGTTTCACTGTTATAAAAATTAAAATTTTACCTTAATTTTTTCTTTATAGATTTGGTTGAAACAGAAATAAAGGAATTAATTCTTGATATTAAATACCCTGCAACCAAAATACAAGTAAGTGTACGTAATACGTGAACTTTCCTGCTAGTAGCTATAATACATCCTTCTTAAAATCTTTATTTTCCTATTTCCCCCAAACATGGCAGGCTGAAGTCTTTTCATGTTTTTATAGTTTATCCCTTTCTATATTTTTATGTGGAAGTTCCTGTTGTCCCATTTAAATATATATATATATATATATATATATATATATATATATATAACCATACATCTGAGTGTGTTTTATATACCCACACATATACATCCCCACATTTTATATATGTATATATATGAGAAATATGTGCATATGACCACCCACCTTAGTAAACACAATCTTACCAGGAACTCTAAAGAGTCCTGAGTGTCCCTCCTCAGTCCCATTCCCTTCTCTCATCCCTAAGGTAACCATAATTTAGAATTTTGTGGTTCTTTCTTTTTCTTTGCTTTATTAGCTACATCATTTCTGTGTGGCTTCTTTGAAACCTGTTGATGCATTTCCTGCCTTTTCAAACTTGATATAAATGGAGTCATGCCCTATGTCTTCTGTGACTTTAGTTTTTCCTTCAGGATTATGTTTCTGTGTCATTCATGTTGGTGTACGTAGCTATCGTTGTAATTCATTCATTCACTATGTCATGCAAATTCCATTTGCTGACTAGAATTTATTCACTGTCCTGTCAGTGAACAGTTAGGTTGTTTCCAGATTTTTACCATTACAAACAATGATGCTTTGCTTATCTGTGTACATATTTCCTCATGCACATATGCAAGAGTTTCTCTGGAGTTTATACCTAAGAGTGGAATTGCTAGGGTGTGAGCTTCCTCAGCTGTACTAGCTGATGGCAAATTGTTTCTCAAAATAATTGTACTAACGTACATTCCCACTTGTTCTGTATGAGTCCCTGTTACTCCACAGTCTCAACATTCCATGGTATTGCCAGACTTTTACTTTTTGCCAGGCTCGTGGTTATAATATGGTCACCGTTGGTGATTTCTTTTACTCCCACTCCTCCTATCCAAAGCCCTCATAATGCTATTCAAGTCCTAACTCCATAAATTCTTACATAATTCTTCAATCCCCATGGATAATTCTGAACTTCTACTCTACTTTCAGTCAGAGCTGGATGGTTAATGACTACTTATTTTCTAATTATCTCATGTGTGTTAGTCATAACTCCTCCAACTTTTTTTTTCTTTAGGCCTTTTAAGCTCCTTCAAGTAGGAACCTTACCAAATACTCGAGTTTTATAATTCACAGCATCTAAAATAATGCTACTGTGAAAATATAAGAAAAAAAGCCATATCACAGTTGTTTTTTTCTTTTCTCTTACACAGTCACTCAACACTTCTGCCACTAGATGTTGGGCTTTTTTTCCCCCAGCACACCAGTCAATTACTTTGGGGGATTCTCCAGCTAACACCAGCTAGCTATTCTCTAGTTCAATTCAATTATGACACCATCTACCTGGAGATGATAGCATGAGATCATCACCACAAGTTAAGAGCTCAGTCCTACAAGACTTCTACCTACTTCAGTTGCCAGTCACAAGTAGTAGGTTGTCAGCTATATATCTGGCTGACTGGCTATAAATTGGGGTTCCTATGACCCCCTCTTTGGGGTTCATCTAGAGCAATTCACAGAACTCAGGGAAACATTTTACTTAGTTTACCCATTTATTAAAAGGATAATATAGAGGGTAGAGATGAACAGCCAGATGGAAGAGATGCATAGCATAAATCATATGGGATGGGTTGCAGAGCTTCCATCCCCTCTCCTGGCAAGCCACTATTCAGGAACCTCTACATGTTCAACCTCTACTATCCAGAAGTTCTTCCAAACCTTGTCCTTTTGGGTGTTGATGAAAGCTTCATTATGTAGGCATGATTGATTATATCATTGGCCATTGGTGATTAACTCAGTCTTCAGCCCCTTGTGGCTCCCCAGAGGTCAGGGGTTGGGCTAAAAGTTCTAGTCCTCAAATATATGGTTGGTTCCACTGGCAACCAACTCCTTATTCTGAAGCTTTCCAGGAGCCCACCATGAGAGGCTTCAGTAGAACAAAAGATTCTCCTATCACCAAGGAAATTAGAGGTCTTAGAAGCCCCCCATTAGAAACTGAGGGTCAAAGACCAAATGTTAGAACAAAAGGTTCACCTAGCACCGCTGTCCACAAAGGGATTAAGAGTTCTGACTCATGAACTAGGGCAGAGACAAAACATTAGAACAAAATAAACTCCTAGCACCCCCATTGTTCAGGAAATTACAGGAACTCTGTGTCAGGTACTGGGGCCATAGACCAATATGTATGTTTCTTACTATTTTACAGCTACATACATGGGATAATTTAGTGAATAGTGATTTCTGTTGCAGTCAGTTTTTAAAACACTTTTTATTGTGTTATTGTGGAACAGAAAAGTCTGTGTGATTTTTAATCATGTTTTCCATTCTAATGACAATGCTAATTGGCTCTCATTTTCCTCAGGGCAAAGTCTCAGTTATTAAAGATGACATGATGATGACAAAGTGGGCATCTAGAGAGACAGTTTGAGACATCTGTAGTAGAAAGGGCCATAACCCACACAGTTCTTCTCATTTTGATGCCATCTTTCTTCTTATTTTAAATTATAGAATAACAAAATTGGGAAACCAGCATAATACAAACTGCCTTCTTGATTTTCCTTTTTTTAAAACAATACTTCTGAATCATGTATGAAGCTGTGAATTTTATTAAAAACGCTGGAAAACCCGGTAACAGAAATTATACGTCTTGTGAGACTGACTAAAGGGAGGGAAGAAACCAGTTTAGGCTTTGGGAGACTGAATAATGAGGAAGAAAGTAAGCTAGCTGCTAGCCTGTGTAATCATAGGCAAAACAGGAGCAGGTTACGCTTGTCCTGGGTTCTTGCCTCTTTTAGTTACTTTCTTTATTGCTTCCAGGTGGTTGCTTCATTATAGACCTGACCAACGTCTTGAGCCACCCTCTAAGCCCATTTCTCCTGCACAAACACACAGAGGTTCTTGTGCTATGATCGGATATTTGTCTCATCCCACATTCTCAGCCTACTTTTTAAACTATTTAATCTCATTGATTAAAATCCAATTTAATGTGCTAATATGAAAGGATAAATGTGACCTTTAACTGCTGTGTCTAACTCATTGATGTTTCTGATACTTGCTACTTTAGGCATGAAGAGATATTTTCGGACTGCTTATGAAGAATCTTAAATATCTGTGGGGGTGAGGAGAGGGAGGTAGGGTAGGGTAGGTACTGTATCTATCCAGCATGGCGTGTAGATCCTGTCTGCCGCGCACAAATGCAGTAATTAAGCTATAACTAAGTTGTTGGCAGCTTTTGTTATTGACATGACGATAACCTCTGCATTTCATTTATGCCTATATAGTATAGGCATATTCAAACCCTTCTTTTGGTAAATAGCTTATCTTTGTTTCTGTTTGGATTTGGCTATTCTGTTAAGTAGCTGTTGCCTTCTAGTTGTTTTATCCTCAGCCTGGACTTTTTGTCATTTATATCATATTTGGTGACATGAAGTTGATTGTATATTACTTAACAATGCAACTTGAGATTTAAGGTATGTACACTAAAACATCTTAAATATAGAGCTTCCCTTTGAAATTTGAGGTAGTGAAAGTGTGGGCATAAATACAAGATAAAAAAGTCATTGCCTTATAATTACTAGAATTATTCAATATCTTTCTTCTAGGCTTTGGAAAGCATTTTGGCAAGTGAACGTTTACCATTTTTTTGCCTTAGAAACATCACTCAGACATTAATGGACACTTTAAAAAATCAAGGTAATAGAGTTTGTACTGATAGGAGGTTATGTTCTCAACTCAAATTTTCTAACTCTTGATTATAGAAAGCAACTGACTTTATGATACCATCATGTTACTTTAATATGGAAGATATATATAGATATATATATATGTGAAATGAGGAATCTTATTTACTCCCTGTTTAGTGTATGTAGTTGATCTTCATCTAAGCTGTCTGTGAATGTATTGACTGTTATTGGAAAGGTTTTTTTTTAATTGTGAGGAAAGATGTCAGTATAGAATGATAAGTCGTTTTCTTATCTAGCTGTAGAACATTGTGAAAGCCATTGGAATGAAGGGGAAGTTATCTGGTGGTATGGAAAAAACAACCAAGTTCTCTTGCTGCCGTTGTCTTTTCTTTAGCTTCAAAAGAGGGAACAGATTTCTCTAGGGGAGGACATAGTGTCATTTTGATCAAGATAATAATAAAAAATATTTGTACTTTGTATTAATGTTCTGTTAGTGTATAACATCTGTATTTTCCCATCAGTTTCCCTCATGAACAGAGTTAAGGACTTCCAAAATCACAGACAACAATCAGATTGTTAGTTCTGAATTTTCTGATCATTTTTTGCTGCTCAAAATTTGTCTGTACTGTCACATTATTCTTTAAAATCAATCAATCAATCAGTCAAAATGTATTTGTCTGAAAAAGGATTACACTTGAAACTGGGATTATAACACCATATTCCATCCAACTGAACTAGTAAAAATTCAATTTATTCTTAATTCCTGACATCAGTTAAATCGTAGTGTTCAGTGGACTGGTATCATCTAGTTGTGACTTTTGCTTGTCATATTAATTGTGTAAAACCAGCTTTGTGTTTTAATTATGTGTAAGCCAGCTTAAAGTGGCTTACTAAACAAATTATAATTTGTTCTTTCAGGGCTTCAAACGTCCTAATTTTGAGACTCTTGTTCAACCTTTTTTTAACAGATACATAAAACTGACATTGGCAAATAGTGAACTCCTTTAGTGTATACCACTTGTCAGAAATAAACACCTCTTTTTAAAAGCATAGTATACTTATAAAGCCCTCCTACCCCTCAAGGCATTAACAAAATCCCAATATGTGGTAAGTGGAAAGTTATCTTTCACTGGTCTGGTAGTAAACCAAACAAACTCCATTGTTGGAGCTCTATAAAATCATCCGTTTCAAGCCCTATGTAAAATTGAGATTCCTAAAAACTTTAATTATTTTGTATGGTCAGTTTTATTATGGCTCTAAGAACTTGAACAATATTCCATGATACTATATTTAAAATAAGATTTGGGGGGATTTTCAGTGTCTCCCTTTTTAAAGAATAAATATTTGTTTTATATTAGATTTAAATATTGATATAGTATATGAATTATGGAGTCAGGGAAAATCTTTTCAAAGGTATTTCCAGATAATTTCTTTAAATTTTAAGTATTAGATGAAGGTATTTCTGCCTTCTTTTTTTTTTTCCTTTTTTATCCCCCTACTTTTAGAGCATTTATTTTATTTAAAAAGTTAGACATTTTGTCAGGACAGAAAAATTGTCTTTGCTTTCAAAATCTGGCATAGCTTAAGCATCTCAATATTTAATACATCAGAGCATCAGGGAATTATGTAATATTGAGAGATTTAATGAAAGAAAAGCCTGTTTATGAGTCTGTT